GTATACATAATAATATGTTTATGTATGTAGATAGTTAAACGCGCACACGATATTATAATGACAATATGACGTGTACTGCGTAGGTATACATAATACTATGCTCTTGTATATATTATTATTATAACACTTTACATAATACATAATGTATAATAATATAGGGTAAACTACTGACCACGGACGTCCGCGAACTTGTTTCGTACGTTTCATCGATTCCTCGTAATTTATAGTTCGTTACATTAAAAAAACAACGCACTTGGTCGTACGGAAGGTCAAGAGAAAGCGTATTCAGTGCAGCTGCAGCAGATGGCGGTCAATTTCAGTTGCATAACGCACTCATCAGGTGGTGGCTAGCGTGCCTACAATAACAATAATTATTTTTATTACATTATTATAGGTCTCGTCGCCCGACTCTGCTCTGATTTATTGTAATATTGTCGTTACGTATTCAAACAGTATAAAAACTAACTAACTATTGTTAGCAGTTATCATCGCTCTGATACGAAATGATCGAAAAAAAATTTAAAAATATTATTATAACATTATAATAATATTATTAATATTTTAATTATATTTAATTATTATATGAATTTTAACACGACTTACAACAAGACCATGGGAAGGTGGTTGTAACTCATCCCTTCTTGTATCGTATAATTTTGAATAAAACGTCCTAACTTTATATTTTTTAGTCGCGCCTCTACAGGCCCGAACCGCCTATTCAATCCGCTTATTCAAGCCAACCTCACGCCCGGTTGTAAATATTCCCGCATACACTTGTTATACATTTTGAAATTTAATTAATAAATAAATGTGCTTATGTAAGAAAAACAACCAGAGTATAATCATTCACGATCACGGGCCCTCGCTTATATGACCGATCTGATTGGTCGTTTCCTATCCCCGGGCCGTAACCAATCCTAGTGGTGGAGATGTAAAAAATTAGATGTTGGTTGATTCCATGGCCCACACGAGGGGGCTAGTTTTTGGTGGTAGTCTTAGGGTGGATGGTGGGGGCTAGTTGTCCTAGTACTCTGATGTGGTGGTATCTTGAAAATCTGTTTTTGTAGAAGACAGCTGAGACCTGAGATATAATCAAAGTTTTAAGTTTTGTGAGTTTGGCAGTTGAGAGTGTGATGTCGTTTCTAGCATAGTATGGGGTGCAATTGACTATTCAACCTAACTAAACCTTTTCAAAATGTACATTATCCCTATCTTAACTTATGCCGGTGAAGCATGGACATTGGACACCTTTCATCAGCAAATCTACATGGAGGAAAATAGAAGCAGTACAGACAATAGGTATCAGAGTAATACTAGGTCAACCGTCCATAGTAAAAAACTCAGTACTTCTTCACACAACCGGTTTCATCCCTATCAAGCACTTAATCAAAAAGAATACCTTAGCAACCTTCCACCGTATCTCAACTTCTCAGTACAACCATATAAAGAATATTGGTCAGATTTCCCACCCATCACATGCCTCTAGACATAAACAACGACCTAAAGTAAAACTGTGGGAAACAAGTTAAATATAAAATATTATTAAAAAAAAAAAAAAATTCTTAGTTGCAAATTCCACTTTTGACATCCAGCTACTAGCAAAGGCAAAAATCCTGGTATAGTCTATAGGCGTAAAGCCGTCCTACCAAGTAAGTAAGTAAGACTATTCAACAAACCTTTCTACTAGTCGGTACGGCAGAAACATATACCCAACAATAACCATATCCCGTGCTATCTTTTTGATGTAAAAACATCTTATGGAGCGTTCAGACTTTTCCGCTCGGGCAGTGAAATTTTCGAGCGTTACCCTTTTTGAGTAACGCTAGCGCTGCTGACGTGCTGATTGGCGGAGAATCGGTGCGACCCAACGATAGACCGACTTGTGCTAAGGTAGCGTGGCTCATTACGATCACGGACATAGTGCCGGCGGCGTGTTACCAAACCGACTAGAGCCCCAACGCCGTACACAAATACGCTGTTTTCATTTGTTTATTTGAAAAAACCGCGAGAGCGTCACATTAGTTCATCGTTGACAACTAACGTGAACAGTTAACTTAAAATGTATTGTACCTACACACGCAATTATTTGATTACATGCACAGGCGAGCAACTACGAACACGTCGTACATCGTCCGTTGTGGCGCGTTGGTAATGCACAAGGGCGTTTTCCGTTGATCAACTAACACTAGGTATATGGTGGATCGCAACGTGTTTACGTGGAATGAAACACTATAAACAATAAACATGGTCCATAAACCGTTATCAAAATTGTCGGTTACCGATAGGAAATTCTATAGCGGTAAACGTTGGAAACTTTGATAGCAGAGAAATTCGAAATTATTGTTTGCCAAGCAATAAAGTAAACATTTTAAACTCCATGATCCAGCGTTTTGTCTATTAAAGGCGCATTCACAGCTACGTCGTGTGTCGTGTCGTGCGATGGCTTGGTTAATATATGGTTACGACTGGTAACCAATATAGTTTAAAAGTTGAGCTGTAGTCAATTCTTGGTAACTCGGTTGCCACTTGGTTATTACCTGATACCAAAAAAGTAATATCCAATCACAGTACGATTTGATCGACACGACACGACACACGAAGCAGCTGTGAATCCGGCTTCAGTAGTTCAGTTCCAATAACTAATATACCTACCGTGGTTGAATTTGTTTATATTTTTTTTATCAAAAGTACATACCTATATTTATTGATGTGATGACGATGTAAGTAGTAGTAGTGTTATAAGGCGTTCAGGTCTTTCCGCATGGCAGTGAACATTTTCGAGCGTTACCTTTTTCGTACCTACTGAGCGAATTTTCTATGGAGGTAATATTTTCGGACTTGTGTTTTTTTTTCCATATTTTTCGAAAGCCACCGCAAATTCTTTTGCCACTAACAGAGTAATTCGGACGTCAGACTGGGCGTCAACCTTGGGGGTAGGTCGAGATCGGAATTCGTGCCAAGCAAATTTTCTATGGAGGTGATATTTTCGGACTTGTGATTTATTTCCAAATTTTTCGAAAAACATCGAAAATTATTTTGGCACTCACAGTCTAATTCGATGTTGTTTTTAATTAAATTTGTTCGTAAATTTTATATAATATATGTGTGTAAATATGTACGCAACGTACATATTTGTTTAACGTGAGTACTTTGTGGACTAGTGTGCAGATGAGCCGTCTAATGAGAAAAGTTCAAAAATGTAATTAATCAAATAGTTATTAAAAATATTACATTTTCCGTGTATAGATATCGTTGTTGGGCTGCCACATATTACCGTCTGGACACCGCCGGTCGCTGTCGTACCACAAACCGCAATTGAATGGTCCGGTGCAAGAACCGGGTATCTCCATTTTTTTAAATAGTTACGTTTCCATGAAATCGTATTCATGGAATAAACATCTACAACCGTACAAATCCCGTTATAATTACAATCCTACGTTAAATACGAGAGAAAAATATTTTGTTTTACAAACATATATTTCTAAATAGCGATTTTTGTGTATAAACTATAAATTATTATAAAGTCAATAGTGTATTAACAGCTGTGTTTATCATGGACGATGGTCAAAGTCATTCATCTTACGAAAAGACAGTAGAAGCAGGAACTGCAAATACATCTCAAAACAGTGAACAAAGAAAACGGTACGGTAAACATTCAATACGATATAGTTAGGCATTTTTTTCAATAAAATTATATTTCTAAGCTCATATTATATATGTTTTCACATCTTTGAGGGTCGCTTGAGACACACACTCGTTTTTTCATTCCTGACGCATGCGCAATAATTAATATTCATCGGGCCGACTCAAGCGCAAACTACAAGCATAGCTCTAATCCAGATTATATTATCTAAGGTCGATCTGTTTCATTGTCTATACTCAAAAGTCAAAACTACCGAACCAATTGGTGGTATTACGGTATATACCGGTATTCCTGGTTTCTGGTATTACGGTATGCACTGGTATTATACAGTATACCGATTCGAATACTGCAATACCGGTATCCGATTTCAATATCTTTTACCCTAACCTACAAGTTATTATTATGCATCACTATATTTTATTAGTATTGTAACCTGTACAGTGCCCTGCGGGGTTGAGAAGGGGGGTAATCGAGAGGCGGCTTCCTTGGTGGGTGGGTAATAGATGATAATTTAGGTATTTACAAATACGACAGTGCCTTTATCGGGTTATTGGTTAGGGTTAGGTTCAGGGTGGGAAAAATATTAGACTATAGCCTCTGAACAATTCCCACTGAATTAGCCTATACCTATAGGACAACTTGCAAATATATACACTTTATGTACTAGAAAATATTTTATTTACCCAACGTAATATGCGTCAGTATTAAATTATTGATTATTTTTATTATTAATTTTGGGTTTAGAAAGCGTGACGAGAAAATCGAACGGGTTATAATATCGGGGTGAGAAAAAATAAAATTAATTATTGGTGAGTATTCAGATTGTGGGGGGAAAAATCGTAATTGGTCGTACTGAATTATAATAATAATAATATACAACTACTTGACGAAGGTTTTCGGTTGATTCGATTGCGAAGAGGGTGTGAATGTGAAGTGTACGGAACTTGTAATACGCGTTTATATGATTATAATATAATAATACATGTTTTCTACGGTTAGTTTAAGTATATATCAACGAAAAATTGCAGCAAATTCCGAGTTTGTTATTATAATAATATCATTGTAATGACGGCACCGACCACAATGGGGCACAATCAATCAAGTTAAAATTACGTTCAGTCGTTTATTTACATAAAAAAAAAAAAAAACAAATCAATAAAACTAGAGTAGGTAATACTAAAAAATAAAAATCAGAACAACGATCGTACGTGGTAGGTACGCCGTCGAGACGAGCGACACTTATACATTTCGTGGTTCGGTTGTTGTATGTATATAATGTTAAATATAATGTTATCATAAATTATGCCAAAAATGGCCGCGATGGTCATGAACAGGAATATAGGACGTCACAACGTGATTAGAAACCGCTCTGATACTGTTTCAGCATCTTAGTGTACTCCTTGGGATAATTTTTCTGAATATGTGACATGACACGTTGAATCTGTTTGATTTCCGTCTGCGAACACTTGACGCACATTCCTCTCAACACTAACGGTGCATGAGCTGCAAATAAGAAAATTCAAAATATAAATAAAAGGACCACCGAAATATATAACTATTTACCACTTGTTTGAATAAAATATTTCCGAAAACGTATCATAATATCATGATACTGTGCCCGGATAACTTAAATAATATTTTTTACTTTTCATAATTTTTGGTTTTTTGTAATTTCATTTTTAAGTAATAAGTATAAGCTCTTTGCTTGATCCCACATGACAAGTCATAGTATATGTTCAAATTATTTTAAGTGGTATTTAAATTTTATACGAATACCATTCTACCCGCAATAAGCTAACAGTTATATAAGTGTCCATTATGAGGATCGTACAATAATTAATTTATCATTCGAAAGCGGATATCCACGCAGTGAGTTATTCAATATAAAGATAAAACCACCAAGTATATACGAAAACAGAGAAGTCACTCGACTTAAAACAATAGTCCGGCAAATAACCTATTGCCGTTAAACTCAAATCAATGGTGTCAGATTAGAATCGTTCTATATATTATTATACATTATATTTTTCAAATGATCTTACCATAAATAGATAGTATTAAAAATATAACTATGGTTATTTGTATAATTATTTAAAATATCGAAAATATTGACCTCATAACATTCTATTAAAATCCCCTAATCCTAACCAAACACTCAAGCCCGATCTGTCACCATAACGTAATAATAATTTATGTATATTTAAATTTTGTGGTGATTATTGTTTCCACCGACCTTTAATTTTTCGGCCAATGGGGTCGCACGGTCCTTCGCCGGTAGCGCACTTGAGTTGCCTTTGCACGAACCTCCTGTCGCTGAGCGCCTTGTCGAGGACGTCTTCGCTGACATTCGGAAGCGACGTGTCTCTCTGGGTAGAGACCACCTGAGGAGTAGCTCGTTTCACTATGCTCGTCGGAAGTGGTGCTGCCAAGGTCTCGGATTTGACCACAGTCGGTTTGTTTTCCATTTTCACTTCTTCTGGAAGGGCGAGGGCGGCGCACACGCATACGGCGATTACGAAAACCTATTGAGAGAGAAAAAAATAATTTTTAATTTGTTAAAAATAATAATTATTGGTACATAATAATATTGTATTTATATTATATTATAATAATATTGTTTGGACGTATTAATCGACGAAAATATTACATTAAACAAACGCACGTTTGGTAGACTACGGTATGGGAAATGTTCTCATTTTTATTGCTATTGTCCCAGATTATTTGTGTATTGTTTTAAATTATATTATTGTACCGACGTGTTAAAACGTCTACGCCGAGGATAAATGTCTTAACCGTTCTTAGGATTATAATTCCTCGCCGAAGTCTTAAAAACAACATGTTGACATTTGAAACTATTCTCCGCAGAATAGAAACGACAAATATCCCCAGCACAGCCAATGGGCTTTGGAAGCCATCCAAATAAATTTACAAATTGTTATGATTTGTGCTATATAATAATTCATCGAAACGCTGGCCAAGTATTATATTATTTTATAACCGTTTTCCAACTTTAACCAACTCAAACCAACTTTATTATATATAATCATATTAATAATATATTGTAATGTCAATGAGATGTGTTCACTGCAGGGTTTGATCGTTGAGAATTATATTTACCTTCCACTTAGGCATAGCTTAGAATGAAATACAAGGCTTTTTATTTTATCAACCTTTCAAAATAATATTTTATTATAATAAAATGTCTAAAATAAAAAAAAATAATAAACCGTAAATTCTACCTGTACCTATAATTAATGCGTCTACCTACTATCCAGATGCATTATGATGATGATAATATTATAATTGATAATCGATACGATTGTATATACCCGTTCCCAGTGTTATATTTGTTTTCAAAATGAATGGCTAAAATAAAATATAAAACCGAACGACCGTTTCGTTCTCGTTGTGTTTTAAAAATAATCACTTTATATAATATAGGTACTATAGCTCTACTGTAGTTGATGAACATTGAACACAGTAAATTGGCGATAAAAAAAAAAAGTTTACAATTTAATCGTTCACGGCTACTGCAGTTCATATAATTCGTATAAAATGTACGCGTAAAAACTCATCGGTCGTATTTATCTCTACTCTATTCGGCTCATTCAACCAGGCAGCGAATTTTCGAGTACGTTTATGTAAAAACGTCACGGACACTCCAGTGATAGCGCCCATGTTAATTTTCGGCCGTAGATCACACACCTACACATACAACTGCCATAATAACTTTATTTAGTGGGCGGCAGTTTCAACCCCTCCGGAGTGGTATATAATATAGTCAATTTATGGCGCAAAAATATTCGGTCGGAAAAAATATTTATGATATGAAAATTGCCCGGTGACAGCCGAGCAGATGAAATCGGTCCTGTTTTGTGACGCAACCCGTAAAATTGACGAGACCTTTAACCACCTGCCCCGCCGGGGAAAAAATCGGTATAACGTTGGTAATACACTTTTTTCGCTTATAATTCCACCGAGTAAGAGTGAAATCAAGGGACAACTTTCTCTCCCCTATTTTTGACGTATTTTTTATTGGAATTCAATTTAAAATAACAGCAAAAGTGTCTTCACCCGGCCTCTGTAAGTTTTTATAACCTCTGGAACCCCACCGTCAGTGTGTGCGTGGGCACGTTTATGCGTGAGATAGTGCCAAACCCTAAACATTAACAAAAATTGTCAAGGCAGAGTTTAAAAGAAATCACGCATAACCCAAAGTTGTTTTCCCAAAATAAATTATCTTATTTTCGACGATAAATATTTATGATTTATCGAGTAATTCGAATTTGAATACGTAACGATCGGTAAGTTTCGGTAAAGATTTTCACTCTAAACAAAGTACAAAAAAACAATACATTGTTATAACAACATTATTAATAAATTCATATTCATTATAAATACGTCAATAGCGTGACATAAGTTTCTTCATAATGAATAAAACATGAAAATAAATATAAAACATTAGGTATTTGTATTTAATTTTAAAATTAAGATCAATATCTTTCAAAAACAAAAAAACTATTATATAATTTTAAAGTTGTTTAGATTTCGAAAAAAAAGTACAAGATAAATAAGACGTCATATCAATAAATTCTGTTTTATTATTTTTTTTTTTTTTAATATATAAAATATAAATTGTACAATTTATTATAGGGTAGCAATATCATAAACGTTTAATAATATGAAATATTATGTGAACGGTGCGTATTTCTTAAGAATACTTTGTAATATTATGTATTATGTTTGTATTATAATAAAAGTCAACTTATAATCCAACACATATTCAAACTATCAAAACATATATTCAAAAAGTTTAAAATTTCTAATTTCATTTCAACTATTAATTCTTTCTTACGCATATTTTAGATAAACACCCAAGAAAAATTGCAGGCATGTCTTATGATTACACTTCCTGTTTCGTTCTTAAAATAAAAGATAAACTATAAAGATAAATCGTAATGGAACTTTGTTACCTGCATGGCTAAATTACATACTCATTGACACGTCATTGTATCGATAGAACAGATATTTACGTAATAGGTACATGATTTTGATTAAAAACTCAATTTTTTGCAGTAATAATTTCGAAGTAATTTTCTATGCAATACTCATGTTCCACTCGTCAAACATAATATATTTAAATTTGATAATTATAATTACATTATATTTCTTAACATATTTTTCTCCCGCGGTGTTCCTACAAACATGGTGTTTTAAAGCTACCATACAAACCCCAGACCCGGTATCATACAAAATAATAGGTATTTATATACAATTTCAAACAAATGATTTTTAAAACCACCTTATTTGTATTTTATTTTTATTCGCATTTTATAGATGTAAGAAATCCAAACCTGGACTAGCGGCCAAAATTAGAATCACGCAAGACGCATCCTTAACTTCACACCTTCATTGAAAAAATTAAAAACGTAAAAAATTATGATGATCAAAAGTAGAATTTTTAATACATTTTGAGAAACTGGAGGTTTGCCTGAAACACTGTATTAATAGGTAATATAAGTACTTCGTACTAAAATTAATTTTGAATATATTCTTAAATAAATGTGATTTTGGGATATTAATATAATATTATACCATATAATTATAGTGTGTAATCTGAGAATCTAATTTGTAAAATAATATATTATCGTTTAAGATGCACAGTAATAATAAGATTAAGAAATGAAAGATAAACTGTAGTATTGCAGTATTTTAATACATTTATTTACAGACGGGTTAGAAAGTTATCGACAGTTATAAATTCATTAATTCGCTTCACATTGAATTTAATAAACATCTAAAATTACAATAACGGTACTGTTGATCAAAGATCAGTCCAAGCTTAGCACTTCAATAGTTATTGGCAAAAGGGAACACTCAAGTATAGGTGTATAGGACTGGCGATTGCCTCTTACAACTATGAGTAGCCGTTTTCGAACCCTAAATTCATCAAGTTATCCTGTTGTTATCGTCATATTATCATATTTCCACCGGAATTGAAAGTTTACTGTGAAATGCACATTTAGAATTCACCATCAGTACTTAGAAAATTTGACAAAGACGTCTACAATTTTAATTGAAAATTCACCCACCTCAAAACTATAGTGTACAACAACATTATTATTTCCTATACAAGTACCTATGAATGGGTACCACTCAAGAAACATCTAAATTAAATTACACCTCTTACTTAACAATACAACATCATAAGGTTTAGTTTGGACAATGAAACATTACTCCCAAAATCGCAATTATTATTATGTTATTTGCTGACCCAAAGGTACTAATAGATAAGATAGAATAAATTATGTTATAATAATTATACCTATATATCTTTTAGTTTTTGTTATTGACATTTCAGGTCAAATAATTATTATTAAAAAGTACGTATCTTTTTTAAATTAAATAAAAACATCCAATTATTATTCAGCTTTGTATTTTTCCTTATGAGTATAATATTTAAGATAAAAACCTTTTTACCTTAATTTTACACTACGGGGAAAGATAATTTGTTGCTTCTGAACTTAAAAAGCATGGTAATCTCCGGTTAGCGTGATGTCAATACGGGTACATAACATTGTTTGATGGATCAAACAAAATGTTTTATAAACTATTTTGAACTAAATAATCTGAGGATGTTTTCTTGTGTATTTCAGACAATGATATTTTATCATAGTTAAATTTAATCAAATTAAGTAAGTATTTGTTATTTTCGACCAAATGTAAGATGATAATGAACTTATATGAAATCAGATAAACATATTATTATGACAAAATTAATCTAAATTCAAAAAATCACTTATATAATATTATAGAAGTTATTATATGTCTTAAGCCACAGCTCTTAGATATATAATTATTAATACAATACATAATATAGGAAATATATATTACATATGGGTGGATATAAATAATTATATAATAATATAATGATATGATATACTTTATAATATATGTGAAATTATAATCAAACTAGTATGTTACCACAGAATTATTCTGTGATGTTACATTAAAGAAAACATGTTATCTTAGAAAGTTATAAGACACTATTAAAATATATCTACATTGGATATAGGTATTAATTGATAAATAATTGAATGGACACATATTTTACCAATGCATTCGTTGGTAATGTAATAATTTATGAGCATTTATAGGCAGTTGACACCCTAAACGATTAGCCTCTCCTTAAAATTAAATGTATAAACACATTAACGATAACATAAATACAGCAAATCTTTAGAAATTCCAGACGACTCCATACCTCTTAAATCGTAATAAACTCTAAGACATAGCCATACATATTGTATAAATTATAATAAAATTACAAATTAAAAAAAAGTTTCCTCTATCATACGTTTGTTGGTGCAATATTTTCGTGATACATTATTTAGAATTTATTTTAAACTTGGTTAGGTAAATATTACGAACTGGTTTAATAATATGATCGTAACAGGCAATATGATATAGGGTGATTATTTTAACACAAAACACTCATTAATTTAGAGTTCAGATTTGTATGGAAATGCATATTTTTACTGTAACAAAATAATTTAATTTGGGCAAACGATAAATTCGTTTCAAATTATTTTGTAATAAAATGAGCCATACTTGATATTAAATATTTTTACATAATATTTTTCAATAATTCCATTTTTTCCTACATATTTACAGAATATTGATAATGTAAGATTGTATTTGTCAACCAAATATTTTGCGTCGATTTCGTGTTTCAAAAAGTACGTGTAGAAAATAATACCCGTCATGAAATCTAATTTATGGTCGATATGGGTTAGGTTATTGAATTTTATGACACAGACGAACGATTATCAATAATATATCAAAAGCAATGCATAGTATTTCAAATAAATCCATTGCGGAATAAATGGAATATTGTTGCAGGCCAAGGTAACTCCTTTGGAAATTGTAAGTATGAAATTTGCACTTATTACATCTGTTGAGCATTCTTTTAGTTAGGACAAAACTGTGTAAAGTCCAAACCGTAGAACATTTAACTTCGACAATTCGAGACATTTTTTTATTACACATAAATTTACATATTTTGGTTTTTTAATACCTACGTCATATAAATCAGATCATTACTTATTATGTTAATAAATTATTAGATCATTTTTTTTTACGAACAAAACAAATGTTTTATGATGATTTTTACTTTTTATAAAATACTATTTAGTGAAATATTGTTATTAAAACGTTTATGTATAATTAAAAAATATTCAAAAAATGTTCTTTTCTTATTTATGTAGCCATTAAAATGTATATGAGTGGGAGTCACTACTTAATGTTTTGGCAAGGCACTACCAGTCCATTCACTCCAATTATCAATAATCTTTTCAGTTTTTCAAATTATTTTAAAACATTTTTGTTTTTAAGAAAATAAGAAAAATGAATGTTTTTTATTTGAAGAATAGCTTTGTATTTCGTTATTCTGTTGAGATGATGGTTCAATCGTGAAATATAGGTACACTTTACTGGTGTTTAATAAAACCGTTTTCTTTTACAGTTACTATACATACTAATGAATAAAGAAAGGATCGATTCCTAATTTGTTAAAAGCCGTTTTTCGATAGCTTAAAATAACGACAACCAACTGTTTAAAATGTAAAATACAGTTTCCACGCAGTCCTTAAGAATTTCCTAACCCTGGGTAGTGTCACCGATCACCAAAATATTTCATATAAAAAATGTTCACGTGGAGGTCATCTCGTCGTGAATTATGAAACGCCCAAGACCTTGATTAATTAATTATTATATCATAGCTCGTCTATGCGTATTATTATTATTTTTAACATGCACGTCGATTCATTGCCCTCGTGCGAGCGGAAGCGTTTCTTGCATCGCCAATGATATAGTAAAAAGTGCGTATTGAATATCCTCACGCGAGCATTTAAATCAAGTATAATATTATGTTTAACTCGTTTGGGTAGGAAAAAAATATGATTTTAAATTAGAATTAAAAAAAAATTTGAAATTATAATTTCCTACAATAAGTAAATAAAGTAAGTAGTAATATTATTATGTCCATACCGTTGATAGTATAAACAATTAATATATGAAACGATTTTAAATTTAAAAAAATGAATGATTGAAACTATTTTTGACTATAAATGTTGATATATATAGGGAATAATAACGATGAACCTATTCTGTTATATTGCTTATTAGATAGGTACTCACTTTCATGGTGACACTTGTTGATGACGATCGAGCCATAGTGTAACGTTCGTGTGTTCGACTGGAGACGACGTTAATAACTGATAATGTAATTATATTATATTATTTTAATACAATATGTATCACGGTTATCGGTGGTAATAATACTGGTGAATGTAGACGCGATGACCGGCTTCTTATAGACTTTCCCTACCTCTCGGGATGCAAGGACTGTGTACTCGCGCACGCACGACTAGGCGTCCGCTGGTAATGAATCATGTGTCTGCGATGTGTTTTTGATATATATTTTTTTTTGTTTTCTGTTGACATTAAATCACGTGAATGACCGAAACCAGCTTACAATTTAGCGACAGCGACGGATTTCCAACACACAATCACATTACACAAATATATATATATGTACACACAGAGTGATTCATCAAGCATGCTCACCCCCATTTTGTTCGTTTGATAATAATATTCATTTACATCATTAGAATTTTTAAGTATAGATAGTTAAACACAATTTTTTCAAATACCCACCGAGAGTTTTTATGATATTTAAGTAAATTTGATGAAAATATTCCATGATAATATTTAGGTATTATAACGATATGGAGGCTATGATGATTTTATAATATTATAATAATTAATATTAAAATATTAACATATTACGTTCCTCTGTACAAATTATTAGAGTACAATAAGTACCTACTTTTTTTTATTAGGCAATGTGTCACATATGTAAGTTAGACAATAAGCTTAGTTACTATAGGTAGATAATACTAGATACAAAAATTACATGAAATACAGAGTTAAAAGACATATTCCAATGGAGGTACTTCGTCTTATTAAGTACTATACCGAATTTTACTGTAATTTATCTGTTATAACATCTATTTTGTATTTTATGTAAGACACTAAAACCATCATTAAGGAATATTATCTTTTAATAAAAGTAGATGTAAACTTATATGCTTGGTAAATGTTTATCACTAATTGTTTTTAGTATTAGTAATTTGGTAATTATTTGAACTATTTTTTTTAAATGTTTTACCAATATTGAATACCATAGTATTATGAAAATAATTAAGAATAATTGAAGGGCACCATATTATAGTATCTGACACTAGGTTGCTAAATACTGAAGTTGCGCCCGAGTGAGAACGCTTGGTTACCCATCACCCTGTATAATATACAATACAATTTTAATACGAATAAAAACGCTATACAAGAGATGAAAAATTACGAAAGTACTTAGAGATATAACACGCTGTTCTCTCGTCGTCATTAGTGTGCTAATAAAAAAGAAAAAATTACAAAAATACACCTCTAACATCGATAAGGCACGTATTAATGTAACTAAATATGATGTCAATGTATTATATTATATACTTACCTTACCTATTGAGTTTATACATATGCATATTATGTCTCATAAAATATGAATTATCTGAATAAATAATTTGGTGAGCCTAAAGTCAATAAGTAAAAAAAAACTTAATGTTTATTTTTGAAAATTATAACAGCAAATTCAAGAGAGCTCTGCTTGTTGCCTAAAATATTATTAACCATTATGATTATAATTTATCTATAAATAGGGATAGATATCTACTTAAACATTTTCAGAGACAACAAAATATATCCGTATGGATCTTTATTCGAACTTTTTTATTTACTTTATTGATGCCCGTCGAATATTAAAATTACAAACACTCGTGTTATATGGTTACAAATCAAAGACAATATAGGTACATGTAACCATGTTACCAAAATAGGTACCTATAACACCGTATAATCAGTGTATTTTGTATTTAGCACATATGGTAATGTGCCTATTCAATATTATTTATCGTATTAATAAAATACAGCTATAATAGGCAAGCTCTAATGGTCGACCTTTCACTAGGGGGAGGTTTATACCGCAAAAAAAAAAAATATATAATTCGATCGCATATTGCACGAAATTCGTGAAATGCGTTCGTCTGGTCGAAGTGCATTGTTATTGGGATACCAATGTATGTTACCCGTTGCAAAAGTCAAAGCTGTTTACGTTAAGAACGAGTTTAATATTATTATTCCACGACATAATTACCACGGCAATAATGTTCGCCATTTTCACAGCCATTAATATATTATAATGTCGTAAAATGTGTTACGATTGTAATTTGTAAAATTATGTACATGTGAACAGCGCAGCAGCGTTTTACGTAATTATTATAATTTATATTACATTATTATTATTGTTTTGTCCGCCACGACGTTATAATAATATGCAACTTAAAACCCAATGTAATTATATATTATGACTACATTATTATTTACCGATTAGTGTTTTAAGCGATGAGTGTTATTGATTATTTTGATCCGTTTTGATAATAAAGTCTTATAATTCCTGTTCAAGTTTTAAAACAAATAAGTTATATATTAAAAATGTTTCTAATTATTTTTCCCCACTCTTTTGCATTCTTTTTTTCACATAGATTATAAATGTTTAAATTTTAAAAATTATTTCACCAACTTTAAAAGTTTAATTCCATGTTATTAAGAAACGAGACTTTAGTGTTCGGTAAATTTACTTTTTAACTTTAAACTGTAAGTACAACATCATTAGATTGAAATAACCCTAAGAAGCATATTATTACATAAAAGTATACTATTCACCAGCGGAGATGTTTTCTAATTTAAAAGATAACTAATTCCACACAACCCGAGTGCTACACACGCACATTGAACCTGCAATGTGTATTTAAATAATCATATATTCCTGCACTGCTACATGCTACACACAACTATCTCGAACATTTTAATAAAAAAAAAAAAAAATGTTCTTTCAGTACGAACTTATTCTACAAACATCACGTTAATTGAACTTAACATTTGTAGCAGTGTACGTTTGTAAAGATTTCGAAATGCTTAAAAGTTTTCATATGCCTGGTAACTGTGATGTTATTCGTTTAGTTTCGTGCATAAAATAATATACACCCAAAGAAAGTGCCTGGATCCATCAGTTGTGCATATTTGATGGGCAGGGGGTGTATGACTAATGGACCGTGTTCATTTTTTTTTAAATATTTTTTTTTGCATTTCAATAAGATATATTTTATTCATAAAAAGATATTTTTATAATTCAGAAAAAAATATGCGTCCAATGAAGTTGGCGCTCAAATGATTTTACTTCGAATGACAATGAATGTCAAATAACAATAATAATTATGACTCGACTTTACACTGGCGTAATTAAGGGGGGGGCGGATTTGGATGTCGTATTCCCCCATGACTTTTATTTTTAACTCGAGAACCATATTTATGTACTTATTGGTACTAATATAGTTTATTTTATAGAAACAATAAATAAAAACCCAAATCCCCTATGGTAGCCTGCTGTAACTATAAGATAATATTACTTCGTAATAAACACTAATCACTATTGCAAATTGAATATTGCACAATTATATTGAAATAATGCAGTTTACCTCGATTTTTGGGAATTTTTTTCGAAAACCTGTAGTTATTTGGTATATTTCAACGAGTTAAGTACAATGGTGCAATCAGAATTTGTTGGTCGGACTTAGAATGACTTTAAATGTACCCTACTTATATTATACATTATACAGATCACAATATGACAGAGGTTTTTATGATGTAAATCAAATTTTTATTTTTTTTTGGTTGTTGGGGTTAAATGTTTCAATTCTCCCCCCCCTCCCACAAATTTGACCAAATTACGCAACTTCGACTGCCTAATATTGATTCTGAGAGAATTAACATGGGACATTCTAAATTCACTATAAATAGTGTAATAGACAGTAGACACAATAGGTAGTTAAATATATATTATATAGTAATAAACGATCAAGTATAGGTACTGGTAAAAATATAATAAATGGGTACCTATGTCCTTATTTGCATGTCAACGGAATATAAAAACTACGATCGATGAGGTCATTGACGAGTTAAGTCAAAAATTATAAATTTGGATTTTGTGATGTTATAAATATGTCGATGACTATAACTATTGACTACGTACAAATAATATAATACAGTTATAATGATTAAATTTCACATATATTTGTAACAAGCGGTACGTATAGGTATAATATTGCAATAATACCTATTGTGTTTTCCCAAAAAATATTAAACATCCCAGGCCTTAGGTAATGGGTTATATATAATTTTGCAATATATTGTGAGTTTATAATTTTATTAAGTTATCACATCTTTAAGACAACTTAACTTAGATAGTGAGGGCGCTGAGCTTCATCGAGTTAGTAATCTCTGGACAAAACCATATCCTCTCCCCACCAAAAAATTAAATAAAATTTCAAAATATGCCACTGGGGTTCATATTCTTACTTATATAAAAATAAAATAAAATTTGACTTTATCAGACAGAGTGCCAGAAACTAAAATTATTCAAATGCTAAATATTATTTATCAACATGTGTTTTTAACTCACTTTTTTTTATGTTTTCTACATTATTGTTGTAGGCACTGTCATTATATCTTTCAAACGATTGACTTCCGCAATAAAAGTTTTTATCAAAAAACACATTATGAATAGGAACACGACAGCGGTTATCAAGGTACGAATTCTGTGTCAGTGTTTAATTCAGAAATCGTGGTTACAATTATACTCTTATAGTAGGCAATGATAAAGAGTTATAGGTATATTAAGAATGTTAATCCGTCATAATGAATTTAAAAAACTTAAAACATTTTGTTCTATCTGTATTATATTTTTATATAGTATTTAGTGCACTTTGTATATTTTAAACTATATATATACTAAATTATAAATTCCTTTCTCGTGAATATTATACTAGGAAGATAACTCGGTGGTCAATAATTATCATATATTTTATTGTAAGCTGTTTTAATAGTTATAAATACAAGAAATTAATTATGACAGACTATTTATCTTTACGTATATATAGAGTTCTTAATTTTAATGAATTTAGAACTATGTTTTTTTTTCACATATCTACGAGTTATGCGCTCCTATTAACGAGTTATTTTTCCCGAAATCAACCACAAAGTATTAATGTTGGACCACTTTT